ATTATATTATATTATATTATATTATATTGTATTATTTTATTATCGTTCCATCTCGGTATTATAACGTAACATCTAAATTATTCCCATTACGAAGCTTTCGGAAGTACAGTTAATCGACTTTAAAGAATCTAGAATACTGCGTGATAAGAAGATTTTATTAAATTCTACGAGAAAGCGAATATTTAATTAAATCGCCCGAAATGAAAACAGAACTTTATTATCTCTGAATTGCCGTCGCGTTTGTTTTACGAACATTTTCGTTGTGATGAAAAATTTCTTCGTTACTAGTATAGCCAGTTTAGACGGCGAGATGTTTTTAACTCTGTCTAAGTAATGCAGAATAAGCTAATTAATTATTCGAGCGTGATTACGTGCAGCAGCAGGTACACCCGGTCTGCGCGTGGAATGCGACGGACTTGTTTACGTGTGTTCAACACCAACACGCGCACGTCCGTGCGCGTGCGTGCCCACCCGGCTTTTATCAGATGCAGCAACGATTTTACTTTCCTACCAACGAAAAAAAGATAGCGCGCGTGCGCACGCGCACACGCGTCCTGCCTCGTTACTTTGTAATAGTTCAAAGAACACCGCGCACCCGCTCCTCCCGTAATTTTCGTAATTTTAATTCGCCTGCTCGGTACAGGCGAATTAAAGTATGCATTTTTATCCGGTGTGCAAAATTTTAATTAAAATTCTCCTTCTTTTCTCCTTCCGATTCGTTCGTTCGATAAAGCAATTACGCGTGTCATTATCTCCGCTGTACGCGTAGTAGGCACGAGCAAGAGCTAGGAGAAAAGTTCAATTTCTCGGAGGAGAGAGAGAGAGAGAGAGAGAGAGAGCCGGGAGATAAGATAATTTTTCGTTCCGAATCTTCAATTCGCTATTTTTTTCGGGATCCTCTTTCCTCTCCTTCTCAACGGGTTTTCAGCTTTTCTCCCCTTCGACCGACTCTCCATTGATTCGAGTTTACGAATCTGTCTACTGCTATCTACGTCGCACCACTACTAGCGATGGGTTTATTCCTTTATTCTTTTTTTCCTCTCGCACACACATGTACGCGAGCGCGAACTCGTCACGTTAGAATAATTCGATGTTCTAAATAAAACTCATGGAATTCGCGTGCACGCGGTTGTTGTTTGGCCACTGGAGGACGGAGGAGAATCCACGACGGGTGAATGTACCCTTAAGCCTGTCACACAACGAGAGATCGCACGATTAAGACCCACCACTAGGCCGATCCGCCTTGACGAATGTTGAAAATTTTTTAATACGATTGTCGTGATTATGTCATTTTTCGTTGTAATTTTGCGAAATCCACAATAAATTGAATTTCGCTACTTAAATTGGAGCTTTGTGAAAATGCGAAAAATGTATATTAAATTCCTTCCTCAAATATGTGTGTGTGTGTGTGTGTGTGTGTGTGTATAGGAATATATAATTATTTTACGCGC